CCTCTTGTTTCTCCTTCAGTGTTTTGGCTGCGAGGCTGGAGAAATGGCTGCAACTCATGTTAATGTGGCACCCACGTCAGAGAGGTACAGATCCTACCTATGGACCCAATGGGTGTTTCAAAGCTTTGGATGACATTTTGAACTTGAAGGTGAGCAATGGATCTGTATTACCCTGAAAAGTTTTCTAGAGAGCAGTTGCCCATAGCCCATGAGAGAAGAGGCTTGAGTCATCGACCTAGGAGGAGCAGCAGCGCAGAATCTCAATTAGCTGTCTCCTGGCAGGGAGTGGCAGGTGCTTTCCTCTTGCTTATCTGAGGACAAATACTCCCTGAGCTTGTCGGGAGTAGCAGATAGCTTCTGTGCGTGCTTGGTTCCATGTTCTGGTAGAGGATTCTGCGGCTGAAGCTGTTTAATTGCCACGTGGCCTCTCTTCCAGTTGATGGAGGACAAGGACTTTGGCATAATGTTATGAAGTAGCTGCGGAGTGACTTCTTGAGCCCTGCGGGTGCTTTGAACAGTTTATCGGGGGCCAGTGTCTCAGTCCTGGGATCTCTGCTCAAACATGACCAATGCGTCTTCAGCCCTTCTCATGTCACACTACTCTTCTTGTAGTTGCTTCATGTTTTGAACATGGTCACGGGAACTGTACACACCTACGCTGTGACAGAGGAGGAGACTCTGCAGACCGTGAAGGCCAGGATCCAGTCAGATACGGGAATCCCAGAACAGGACCAGGAGCTACTGCAGGAGGCTGGACTTGAATTGTTTTCGCAGAAGCTGGCCACTAAACACATAGCTGATAGCAAGGTGCGTCTGGTTACTCCCTTCCGTGCTGTTGAGTGCATCAGCCAGCACTGCTCTCGCTTTGGGAGCACAGCACTCCCTGCTCTCCGGGCAGGCTTTTGCCACAGTAACCACACAGCCCTTGGAGGATGGGCACCCTATCGCCTTTGGCGTTCAGTCTTTGGCTGGGGAGGAACGTTCTGTTTATGGTGTTACTGTGGCTTGCTTTTTCTGAGAGAGCCTGCTTGGGTCTTTTGTCTTCTGCAGGTGAATGATACTGCAGCTGCAGACACAGACCTCCTCTTCCTCTTCGATAACCAGAAGGTTGCCTATGAGGCTCAGGTTGCCTTGCGTCCTCATCCGGAAAGCGTTGACTGCATCCGTAAGGACTTTCTCTAGCATGAATGTGGGAGGTTGTCCGCGTTGAGAGGGCTGCCTCTGTTCTGTGGTCTGCATCGTGTGCAAGGAGTAGAGAGAGCTTTTGCGTATTGGGACTGAAGAAGCGGTAAAATGGACTGGCATAGTGTTCGTTCAGTTTGTCAGAATAACTGAGGGAAAGGAAGCGTTTGATTTTTGATATAGTGGGGAAGCCGCGCAGGGGTTAGCCAGCTGTAGGCTTTGCCAGAGGTAACGTGCCCCTCAAAGGAGTGATGTTTTGGTCTGTTTTGTCACATGATATCGCTACTTCTGGGGTTCGTGCTGATACGTACATTTCCCTCCCCGCCTCCCTCCTCTGTTTCCAGTTCAGGATCCGAAGAAGAATCTCCACTTTTTCCAGTTGCGGAAAGTGTGGGGTCAGATCTGGCACACAATCCGGATGCTGAAAGAGGACTGCAACCGGCTTCAGCAGGGGCAGCGAGCAGCTATGTACGGTGGCAGTTTCTCTAGAATACTTACCTCTGCCTTTGCTCCCTGGGGACGGGGAAAGGACAGGAATTGGGACCCTGTGGGAACGGGGAAGCCCATGAGTGGAGCCGTTAACGGTTAATGAAAAGCCGAGAGTTCGTCCTCTGACGAGTGGAAGTCTGCGTTTTTAGTTTGGGAGGGTAATCGGACCTTCTTCTTGTCCCTGCAGGATGAACCTGTTGCGTTACAACAGTACCCTCTCGAAGATGAAGAATTCGATGGCCTCCCTTTCCCAGCAGCTGAAAGCGAAGCTGGACTTCTTTAAAACAAGCATCCAAATCGATCTGGAGAAGTATAAAGAGCAGATTGAATTTGGAATCAGTGAGTATAGCATCTGGCAAACAGGTCTTTTTATGCCTCTTATCCCCACAAAGCATCTGCCCTTTCCGGTATGAGCCTGAGAAAAGCAATCACTCTTCTTTCATTCCTGTAGCTTCTGAGAAGCTGCTGTTTGCCTGGAAGGAGATGGAGCAAGCTGTGGAACTTTGTGGGCGGGTATGTTCCTAAATATAGCTGCTTATCCTAAAGAAAAAGGGGCTTGGTTTTCTTTCCTTTTTTTTTCTTTTTTCTTTTTTTTTTTTTTCCATTGTCCTCCCTTAAATAGAAACTTCTTGTGTCTGGGCTGATTGCAGATGTCACATTGCCTTGGTTTGGGTGGCACCATTTCTGTCCATTGCCAGTACTTGGTGAAGCTCACTGTGTTTTGTAAGGCTTAGGGGAAAAAGGGAGATGATGGGGAAGGTGAGAGGAGATTTTGCAGTGGTTGCACTCGGATGCCCTGCTAACCCGCTCCTGGAGCCAGGACAGCTGAAAAGAGGATTTAAACTGAATGGGAAAGTGAACAATTAGATGACTGAATACAAGAATTCTATGCATCAGACTTGAATTTTGAAAAGGCAGCAGTTTCCCGTTCTTGGTGCACGTTCCGCACCCACTCCCCGTAGGGCGTTCAGCCTTTTGACGCAGGACAGCGTAACCCCGGTAAGTAGGGCCGAGGACCGTCGCTCCCAGATGAGGAGTGAAAGGTGACTTGTCGATATCCTACTCTTTTCCAGCACTTGGTCCTCCTCTACTGGGAGGAAGCAGAGGCAGAATGACTCTTAACAGGCAGCAGCTTCTGCGTGTGAATGAGTTCAAGTGAAAAGCAGAATTTGGGGTGCCGGGAGTGGTTGTGTGCTGAGGGAAAAGGGGAAAAGTGGTGATGGATAGGATGAGAGAAGAGATTTGGAATAGCCAAGGAAAAGGAAGCATGGTGGCCTGGGAACTAGCAGTACATTTACTCCAGAGTCTGACCCTTCAGTGGCTCTTTGTCACAGGTCAAATTTTTTATCAAAAAATTCTTGGAAGCTGTTTTATCCCGGAGCACCAAGCTAATTTCCTTGAATTGAAATTACTCATATTCTCTCGGCTTGGTCCAAGGCTGCTGGTTGCATCTTGCTGATGTGAGTGTTTAGAAATGTGAATGAGAAAGGAAGAGCCAGCGTGAGGGGTAGGGTCTCTCGGTAGGAGACTGCCCGTTGCTTATGCTCTGCCCTGCTTTCAGGAGGATGATGTGGATCAGCTAGTGAAGAGGATGATGGCCCTGCAGACCGACATCGTGGACCTGCAGAGAAGCCCACTAGGTCGTAAACAAGGAGGAACACTGGAGGATTTGTGAGTTGAACTACCTTGAACTTCAGATGCAGGAATACTGCTAGCTAAGCTTATTCACTGCAGGGCAATGAAAGTGCTCCCTCTTCAGCCCGAATTACGGGGGAGTGGGAGGACTTCGACACTAAAAGACAGTTTTTGACTCCTTACCTGTCATTGCTCTGAAATGCAGACTGTTATATAAAAGATTTGAGTTCTTGAACTACTTGTTCGTAATTTAGGTTCTAGAGAAGTTCTTTGTGTTCTGTGCCTTTTTCTTCTAGAGAAGAACAAGCCAGAGAGCTGTACCGGAGACTGAGAGAGAAGCCAAGAGGTAAAAGACATTTTAGCTTAAGGTCAGCTTGCTTTGTGTGGATGGTGACTTTGGAGATGCAATAATGAGCGCTGAGAAAACTTTCTCTGCGTTCTAGGCCTGCCCTTACGCTAGCTGCACAGGGACTCCACTGGACTCGCCTTTTTTTTGGAGAAGGGGGTCAGGGAGTCAGTTTTAAACTAGGCCAGCCTTGCTTTCTTGGCGCCTTCTGAGCTCTTCTTGAACCTCCTCTGGAGCTCTTAGAGCAAGCTGTTTCTGCAAGCACATGCTGCTGCTTCTGTGTAGGAGGGAGGAAGACATAGCTGCTCCTTTGAGCAGCTGTACAGCCCCAAGGCACGAGACCCGCCCTGCCGGCTCTGCTTTCCAGTTCTCATCATTTTGAAGAAGGTGGCTAAAATCCAGTGCAGTCCATCCCACTCCAGCTGGCATGCCCCGACCTCGGGATGGTCCAGGATTGAAGCAGCCGTGGAAACAAGCCACTGAGAATCTTCTCGCTCTGTCCTGTAAGCCTGCCTTTCTGTGTAATGCTCTGACTCTCGTTCCAGATCAGAGGACAAGCGGTGACAGCCAAGAAATAGTACGACTGCTCCTACAGGCGATCCAGACCTTTGAAAAAAAAGTCCGGGTCATTTATGCTCAGCTCAGGTGAGCTTTGTAGAGTCAGCTTTTATTGAGGGCTGAGAGAAAGCGTTTTCTCTTTCAGCAAGAGGTTTTGTTGTAGAGGTTTAAAAGCCAGCGCGTACGGCTAACGAGCTCCGAGTGTTACAGGAAATGAGAAACTTCAGAAATATTCCCCTGCTGTGGTTGTCCGTGTGTGATCTGATTATTTTTTTTTAATAGTAAAACTGTAGTTTGCAAGCAGAAGGCACTGGAATTGTTCCCCAGAGTGGAGAAAGTGATGAACCTGATGAATGAAGATGAGGAAACAGTTGTTAGGCTTCAGGAGAAACGACAGAAAGAACTGTGGAACTTGCTGAAAATTGCTTGTGTAAGTAAAATAAAAACTCCAGTTTAACCTGGAAAGATGGTTTGTAGCACAGGTTACTGAAATAATTAATAGTAACTTTAGTATCTCCTATGGTTCTTTTCTCTGGTATTTTGAATTAAAGCCCAGTTCCAGGCTGTCTTACTCCTGGCTGCTGGAAGTTAGCGGAAATAATCGCAATCTCGATCTTCTGTGTTTTCTTCAGAGTAAAGTACGCGGTCCTGTTACTGGCAGTCCAGAGAGCATGAGCACGTTGCGCCTCGGCAGCCCTGGGCAGCTGCTGCTGCAGGTCCCTTCTGGAACTTACAATTTGTCAGAATCGGTCAGGAAAAGGTGAGGCCAAGTCTGGAGCTCTGTAGCTGCTGCTGCCAGCCCTACGCGGCTGGGGCTCCCACTTTGTCAGAGAACGACACGCAGGCTTTCTCGCACTTCCCACTTTGCGTTCAGCGTCCATCGGCAGCGGTCTTCTCTACCTCGTAGCTGGACTTTGGGGGCTTGTGAACCTTCCTTATGAAAAACAGGGAATAATGGTTAGCTTCGCTTCCCCCGCCTCCATAATAAAGGGTTTCTTTTCTCTGGAATGGTTGGGCTCACTTGAAGTCCACTGCCAGCAGGGATTGTTGGAGCTTTCTCACGGAAGGTGGGGTAGCTGGGCTGTCTCATGCAGGAGAGACTGCTAGAACCAAGCACGTGTACTTCTGGCGTGCTTACGTGAACTGGGTCACCTGCTGGACTGACAGACCTCGGTCTGTTTATCCGTGTGTTCCTTAATCCTGTAGTTTATAGGCTGCTCTGCAGCTTTTTCTCTAGCAACAGTGACTCTAGAGAACAGGAACCCAGCTCCAACTTGGAACATGCTTCCTTTCCCCTCTCCCAGTAAAGCTGGGGATGCCAGCGACTTTCCCAGTTGCAATATGAGTTACTGGCTTATGAGCTGACTGGTAAAGGTTCATATTCTGCCAGAAATATTTCTTAAAGGTAGAGGCAGCAGCTCTTTAAACACAAGTGCCATGGAAAATAATTGGGTAATCGTTGTCCCTTTCAGTGAGGAGCTGCTGCTGGAATCGCAGAAACTCTGTAGCCAACTAGAAAATGTGATGCACGACACGATGAAGGATCAGGAGCAGAGCTTCATGGTAACGTAGTTGATATTCTGTAAATGGGCGGGGGAAGCTCATGGCTTCAAACTTCTGCCTGTGTCACTTTGCCACCAATGAGTAATGTGGCTGACAGCCACCTGCGTGCGAGTCTCTCGGGCAAGGGGAGAGCGACAGAGCACCCGCTCCCACTTCTGCCGCTGACCGACGTGTTCCCTGCCTGCCCAGAGCGGGAGCCGCGCGCTGGGGACTCCAGTTGGGCCGAACAATAAAGGACGGGGAAGGCGCTTGGCTGTTGTACAAAAATACTGCACAATCGCACTCTTCACATTGGGATGGTCTTGTGGTGGCAATACATTGGTGGGCAGGGATGCTTATTTAATGAAATAGAATACTGAAAAGAAAGTAAAATATTAGAGAAAATAAGTAGTGTAAGGGTTTCCTTTACAGCAGTCACGTGGTTCGTCACAAAAATGTACTGACCTGCTTGTTCACAGTAACATTTTAAAATCTTTTCAATTGCTTCCCCTTTATTCTGGAGAAATCTCAACTGTAAGCTAGCGCTGACCTGTGCAGTTCTGACTGTGTGTTCTTTAGGCTCTAGATTGGAGCTGGCTGCAGCTTCAGGTAGAAGAAACAAACGGTCCAGAACAAACCCAGATGTAAAATCGCTTCGGTTGCCTCTGAAGACGTGCTGCTTCAGGAAGCCAACTGTGAAAGCTGCTGCCTCTCCGAAGGGAAGTTCCAGTGCCTCCTTCTCCTGTCACCTGCACCTGGCCTAGCTTTTAGTATCCACCTCTCGGACACTTTTTCCCACAAAGATACAGTAGGAAATGCCTGTTCTAACTGCTTGGAAAAAGTTCTTAATCGTGCCTTAAGACAGCAGATGTTCTTAGTCTCTGTCCTGATGCATCTTCCCTCAGGCATCACGTGGCGTTTTGCCTTTTAGGCTTTCTAATGAACAACGGCCAACGCAAGCGCAGTCACCGGTAGATGCCACCTTCCTGATACACCTGGAACTGTGAACTTAATTCCTTAACTTTGCTGATTTGCACTGTTTTCCTTAAGTGTAACAGTTGTACTTACCTAATACTTGTTTCCTGTATGGGAACGAAATTATCTAAAACATGTAAACTTTTGGTTTGCTCTTTTTGATACCCTCAATAACATTGTAATGAAAAAGCTGCTTTCACTGTGCGGGTCTCTAAAACATGAGAGGTGTAAGGAGGTTACCCCGGAGACCACAGAGGAGGAAGCCTTCAGTGTACACGCACAGTTTAACACACAGCATTTGCAGATTATCTATTAGCCATGCTTAAAGTCGCACCAAAAAAAGGCCCAGCTGGGTGGAGCCCGGCTTTGGAGACAAGACACACCACCACTCTGTTCCAACTGCGACCAATTTATTTATTTCTGACGTAAACCCAAGTTTCCACTACAGCACAGAGACCACCTTTTATAAAAGGTTGTGAAGTACAGGACATGCAGGATGCAATACAATAACGGGGAGAGGCGGGGTTTAGGAAGAGATTTAAAATACGGGAACCTGAAGTGAAATGTGGCACAAACATCACAACTTCCATGCATGCCTTCAAGTATCTTCCTTTGATGTGCTGGCACTCTCTGGACTTCAGTGTTGGGTTAAAAGGATTCTTTGGAGGAGCAGAAAGTTCACACTTCTTGAAATTTCAGAGTAAGATTAAGGCCGAAACACACTGGGTACACTTTTCCTTCGTCTCCCAGAGCACCGCCTGTTGTTTTACTTAAAGCTGCATTAAGCTTCCAGCTCAAATCCCAGCCCAACTTTGTGACCTCCGGCACTGAAGTTCTTGCCATCAATCAAGCCCGAGAGGGTCAGCTTTACACCTAGGAAAGCAAGTCATGAGACCCTTCGTACACCACTGTCCCCGGACAACGCCCTCCCGCCCGTACTTGAGCCCGACTAACGTGTCTTGGCTGCTATAGGCACGGCTGTACATACGCGTCCTTTACCTCTGAGCCTATGTAAGATTTCCAGCTGATTTGTTTATCTGTTCTGTTCTAGAGATGACAGTAAAATAACCCACGGTGTAGTACTAATACTATTTGCTGCTACCAGCTGGACCTACGTACCTGGTCGGAGGGCATGAGTGTAACCGATTCCAATCAGGCTGGCATTGTTCACTTTAGCCTGCAGGAAAAAAAGAGATCACCGCTCACACGCTGTGTACAAATACCCAGGCAGAACGGGCCCAGGGCCCTGAGAAGGCGGCTTATGCATTAACTCCTCAGCTACTCGTGGACTAACCTCTAGCAGAGGCCTATTCCAGTCTTTTCTCCTCAGGAGTTTCCAGCTTAAGCTGTAACGGGCTTAAGTAATAGTCCCAATCCTTCCCTCGAACGGTGACCCATTATGCCTACCATGAAATGCCACCCTGCCCCTCACTGCCCCAGCCCTGTCTCTCTATAGCCCTGAAGGGCTAGTTACTACAGCCCCTTAGTAGCCAATGAAGTCTCCTTCACAGGCCCCTGGTCACAAATTGCTTAGTAGTGATTTTTTTAATGAGCAATAAACATACGACTACGCAAACCCATTTTTGCGTCACTAAGGTTTGAGCTGTTTACAACAGTGTTTCCCATCTTTCATTTTGACTGACTTGCCCTGGAACTAATTCTGGTTTTGAAGCGTAACAAATGCTTGCTGCTGCAGTGCTCGGGGTTGGGACCTGCAGGTGCTTTTATTCACTGTCACGTCCCCACAGACACGTTTTGTTGTCTCCTGAACCTCTTTCTCTCTCTTTAAACCTTTTATTTTTTTTGCCCTAACGCTTCTGCAAGAACTTGCAAGCGTCAGTAACACCACTTACCCCAGCTGACTTTCGAGGGTTAGCTGGCTGTTAGGGGAAGGCTGTAAGCTCAGCTGAACTTCCAGCATTTTACTATAGTACAGTTTTACATTACACTTTAGATAAGAATTAGAGAATTAAAAGGACGCTGCATCCTCTCGTTACCTTCTGAAAAGACATTTTGCTCGGGCTCCAAGCCCACAAGCGACGGTTTCACCATGGGCAGAGCAGTGCTTTAGAGTCTTTTTTCCCCATCGTTTCACAAATGCGACCTGTGAGGTTCCAACTTAAATTTGAGCCACAACAGAAGCCGCAGTTTGCCATCTACCGTACTTTCCCAGTAACTGTTCAAGGCAACTACTTCATACCACAAATGTTCGGTGTTTAAGGCAGCTTGAAATACTCATTCCTGTAACAAAATTCTTACCACAACGGAAGTCTTCTCATCCAACTGGTACTTAGCAGCAATGCCAAAACGTGTGTTGTTACTGCCAGCAGTCCAGGCCAGATTGACCGACGTCTCAACCTTGTTATTAACCTTCTGATAAATAGACCCGCCAAACTCGGTGCCGTCGTTCCTGTTTGTAACGATGCAAGCGGTGTTTAGTAAACAGTGACTCCTTTGATTGACCCTTCCCCACCATCGCTGCATCATTCTCTCTTAAAATGAACCAGGAGCTCCAGTGCTTCCCTGGACCCAAGCTCATCTGCTTCCTAGCTGGAGCTGGCAGGCTCCTGCTCGCGCTTTTTTACCCAAAATTAAGTTTCCCTTGCAGAATGGAACGCGACTTCCCAACAGCCGAGACCTGTGGTTTGAGGTTCTAACAGAAGACAACCCAGGAAACTTGCTCGCTTGTCTTAAGAAAGCAAGCCTGCAATAACGCGCGAAGGGACAAATCCAGGAGGAGGCTTAAGTCGGTAGTGGGAATGGTGGGACTGAAGACAGTGTTACTGCATTGCAGTTGTTTAAGGACACCGTCTTCAAAGACTCTCGGAGCATCCGAATGCCAAAACGGGAGCCGCACTGCGGTGACAGCTGGGAACACTGGAGCGCAAAGGCAGGCACACCTCCCTCCGCCACCTCGGGCGTTTCGGAGCCAGAGGCTTTCTGTCTGGGGGGGAGGGGGGAGGTACAGCAGCTTAATTGAAGGCTCTTTTACCTAGCGCCAAAATAGAAGTTAAAGTTTACAGATTGTAATTCCAAATTAACATTATGAAGTGCCTTTACGCCACTAGCTTACATACACAAACCCCAAAGTCATCCTGAAGCAAGACAGCCCAGAGCTGGAAAGCTGCCCCTGCTTTAGTTGTACTGAAGATGAAACCACCGAATAGAAATTATTTTGAAACCAATCGGCATGCCCTTCCGTCCACCCACCCTTCCCCTAACTCCCGTAATGCTCACTATGCACCTGGCTGGGCTCCTCCAGTGCTGCTTTTCTAGGCTCAGGCAATACTTACACGTTAGTGTGCAGCTGAAAGTCTCCCGCCTTATAGCCCAAGGCAAAGTTATTTTGCGAAAGCTTAGACTTGGCTGTATCAAAAGCCATCTGGTAGCCAGCCAGCCAGCCTTCGTAGCCTAGCACTGCCCAGCCATAGACGGTTGGTCCAGAGACATCGATGTCTATGTTGCAGCCGAGATTTACGTATTCTCTTTTGTAGGAGGTCTTCAACTTTCCACTCTTCTTCCTGCAGAGAGAAGCACGCCGTTTTATCCCTGGTACTATACAAGTGCGTATGACATGTAGTTTTGTTCACACGTGCATGTCCCTTAAGGCCAGTTAATTAAAGGACTGTAATGCCTACTCAAAACTTAACATTAACAGCTGCTGAAGAGGGCACGGGATAGGGGTAACACTGCTATTAAGTATATTTATGTGGTGCTGCTTTTTCCTCCACCATCTCAAACTCCTTAAAATCCTCAAGAAGAGAGAACG